CCACCACATGTGTCTTGAAGAGGAGCACCGCATAGCCCGGGATTCTCTGCGAATGACGAACTATTCTGGCTTTGAATCTAAGTGCCTTGTGGTATTGGACCTTCGAGTCTGTTGTAAGAGAAGTTCATCCTCTCTATAAACGTGAGTTTCCCGAGCTGTGGTGGGATTTCACCAGATAACCTGTTTTGAGATAGATCCAATGATTGGAGATTGGTCAAGTTCGCCAGAGATTGTGGAATACGACCTGTGAAAGCATTGTTTGACATGTTGAGCACAATGAGTTCCTTGAGTGAACCAATGGATTCAGGGATATCTCCTTCGAGTTTGTTTCTGGAGACATCAATGGTTTTGTACATTGTGAAAACACTCCCAACTAGCTCCATCTTTAATCCTTTGTTCGTTATGATAGTATGCTCGGCTACCTCCTGCATCCATAACTAGAGGCAACATGGTTAGTTCTCCACTGAAGAAATTCTCAGAAATGATTACACACTGCAACCTTGGCAGTCTCCCAAACCACTCTGGTAATTGACCTTCAATTTGATTGGCAGAAATGTCTAAATACCATAACTCGGTTTGGTTTTCTAGAAACTTGGGAAACTCGGAAATATTGCAGGATGATAAAACCAAGAGGAGGTGATAATGGGTGAGGAGAAACGGAGAGTTGAAACTGATCTTCAAATGAATCCCTGAAAGATCCAACTCTCTAAGTAATATGAAATGTGAGAAAAAAAACTCCAATTTGGAGAGGCTACTCATGTTAGATGGGAGGGCACCTTTGAACTGGTTAGAACCAAGGTCGATCGATTTGAGCGAGCGCAACTTAGGTAGCAGATTTGTTAGTACCATCGAATCCGGTCCTTCACTAGTGAAATCATTATCAGAAGGTAATTTCCATGGAAATTGCAACTACCACAAGCCAAAACACTCAAATATTTGAAGTTGCCGATGGAATCTGGTAGGATACCCGAAAGGTTATTGTAGCCAAGATTCAAGCTCTGACGATGTTGTTGTCTGAACAGACTACTATTAGATCTCAAAGGACCGTTGAGAGAACTTTCCATGAGCTCTRACTCAAGGATTACAAGAGACACCATCCCAAGAACAGCAATCAGTGTTGTTCATCCACTTCTCTGTCGTCTTAGCCCAAGGCCTCCAATCGGAATCAACATAGAACTCGTTCTTGAACTCCCAAAGAGCATCCCTCTGGTCTGGAAGACACAAGTGTTTAGAAGGAGAAGCAATAACAAGTATTGAGTTAGAAAGATCAGAGATTAAACACAAGCTCCATATTATCATCATCTTCTTCTCTTCACTGCAAGGTTTTATCATACTTTTTTTTTTTTCCCTGTGAAACAAACTGATCATTGGATTGTCTCTTACATTTGCGGACAAAATTAAAGCTTGACTTAACAAGTCTCCTGTGAATATTAATTGCACACAGCAAGATGAGATATTTCCACAAAGTCTCTTAGAAAAAATGATTCATCTTTAACTCCTCTGTAAAAGCTTGAGTTGTGCATTTTCTTCTCTCTTGTTGGAGATGGATTGTTTTTCCAATTACATTTTTTTCTGACTACTTTGCTTTCTTATGCAGTGTATTAAGCTTTTTAGGGAAACAATCCAGCGAACGTTGAAAGGCTAAGACAAGCATGGTAAGCTATGAAGCACCTTTAGTCCTACTTTATTGCTCATACTTCGGATTTTGCTTAAGGTGGTTTCCTTTGATCATTATTTGTTAGGAAACCAATCATGCAATTATATAACAAACCCTCTGAAAGTTTATTGATTTAGTAGTGATGCTTAGATTAAATAGAAGAGTGAACGATCATGAACAATCGAAATAGAGAGAGTATTTCATGTTAATTTTCATTATGTTTTACTTCTTGTGTTTTCTTAAGATTTTGCTTATATTTATGTATTCAAATTAAATGAGAATATATACACGATTCAAAACTTACGAATATACTAGAATATAACCATGACGTATATTGGTTAGTGATTATTCTTGTTATTGCTTTTATTGGAGTCAGCATGCATAGTAAACTCAATCTGTAAGTAATAATGAAGAAATAGATAATTTTAACGAGTTGATATGGCAACAATATGAATGGTCGGTTGATCTTTTGTAATGGTCTCACTTCACACAACTATATCCCTCAAACGTTTGTCTTGTCTCCCACCCACTTTTATATCAAACAAAATCTATATGATTTAACTTCTCAAATCTCATTTTTTTATATTTTTTTTATCATCTTCAAAAGAAATTCCCAAGTTTTTTCTTAAAATAATACATGTAAATTTTCCACCTTATACGAAGAATAAAAAGAAGAATGAAAAAAAAAACATTTTCAAAAAGAGAGAGAATGTTTTAGAAATTGTTTTTCAAAATACGAGTTTTTCATTCCACAGTGTTTTGAAACTGATAGACACTAATCTTGGTGTTAAAGCAGAGTATAGAACTTGGTGAGTTTTGAGTCCAAGAATCAAATCAGAGGGGTAAAACTGGAAAACTATTTCTTCAAAAGTCTCAATCTTTTCGAAAAGACCCAAAGGCATCAAAGTCCATTACTTATTCCCCTGTGTTGTTGCTAAACGCACTCAAGCCCAAAAATGAACTCCTCATATAAATATGGTTTACACATAATACATGCGTACACATGACGATCCGAGCCCATCTGTTTGGAAATATATGATTGTTGGTTCAGGATCCAACGGTAGGAAGATTACGAGTTCACAGTAAAAGAATGGACTCACGTGTAGAGGAACATCATGAAAGGGCCAGTGTCAAGGGCTTGATGACGCGCGTGGGGTTTGCTTTAAACGCGTGAAGTTTACTATCCCATTAATGGCTCGGCTCAAGCCGATAGTACAATACACTGTCACTCTCACTCCCATCTCTTCCAATATTACTGTTTTCTCGTTAGGGAATCAGCAGAAAACCATTATTTAAATTAAAAGAACAAATGTGTACCAAACAAAAAAAAAATCTATGAGATATGTGTTTTCTAATGTATAACCAAATTATTCGTATAGATTTATTATGTATTAATGTATAAAATTTATTATAAACACATATCTCATATAAAATCTATGACATAATAAATTTTCTATTATATGGTAAAAATAATGCTGTCTTTTTTTTTTTTTTTTCTAAATTAAATTAAACTGTTTACTCAAACGAGTGTGTAATATAGTATTTTTAGTTATCATAAGTTACGATTTCATATAATGATGCGACCCATAATAAGAAAATCCTTAATCATTCGACTAGGCCATAGTTCCGCATTTTCCAAACAAAAACCATCGAAGTCTTAACAGATTTATTCGAACATTAATTAAATTTTTAAAAACAATTTAAAAAATGATTACAAAAAAAAAAAGCAAAAAGGAGAAATGTTTTAATTAATTATACAAGTCCAAATGGTAGAATCAATAGAGAAGCAGGTAAAAAGAGAAGATAAAGCTTCCTGCTTTTATG